CCGGCCTAGAGATCCAGCTGATCGAGAATAAAGCACCATATTTTAAGCAAGAGCTAGGTAACGCCTATCTACTAAAAGCGTACCATAAGACATTTTTTCATATAAATCTCACTCTCATTAATGAAAATATCAAGCAAATAACGTCAAATGTCTATTTTGCAAAACAAAGAATAGATGATACGTTGATAACACAACTTGAACATGAATACAATTTGCTTTTAGACAAATATGAAATGTTAAAATTTAAACGAGTTAAGCGTGGATTATTTAATGGTCTTGGTTCCGTCATAAAATATATTTCAGGCAATTTAGATCAATCTGATCTAGACGAAATAATGGAAAATATGAAAATTCTGAAGGAAAATCAAGATAATTTATCATTACAAAATTCCCGAACCGTCTCTGTAGCAAAACAATTACAAGACAGGTTTGAAAATAACACTTTAATTATAAAGAAAATTTGAGAGATAATTTGGATAACCTCAACAAATTGCATAGCGAATACGCTAATTCTCAGTATGTCTTGAATGAGATAATAATTATTCAAAGATGTTCTAATTATTTATCACACTTACTGTTAACCATTAACCTGAGCACAAATCAGGGCATAAATCTCTTACAGCTGAGTAAGACTGAAATTAATTATATCCATTCGTTATTAAGTGATCTATTTGACAAAAATGAACTTCTCCCACTTGATAAACTGCACAATTTTGAATTTTTCGAATTATGTGAATTAAGTATTATAGTCCTCGAAGAAGAAATCATATTTGTTCTTCACATACCAACAGTTACTGGTAACTTTATATATTCCAATATATACCCCATTATACACCAAAATAATATTCTGGTATTGAAACATAAAAATATTATCGAAAATGAAACTATACATTTTTGTGATGAATGCAAATTATTGAGTAATAAATATTTTTACTGTACTATACTAATCCATTCCAGTTGTAACTTACTTAAAGTTGAAAATTGTACGTTCTTGGCAAAAGGTTCATTTCAGAAGTAATTCAATTAAAACATGATAACTATTTAGTGAATACTAACAAGAATATTCCAGTATATGAAGATTGTACCAAAGAAAGAAAAGAAATTGATTCCTCTTTTATTATCAGCTTAAACTGTAAAACATTTATTGATCATACTGAGTATTTGAAGATTTCTGATATTTCGAAACCTTTATACATACCTAACATTATGGTGAACTATGATAAGAATATGTTATTTGAAAATACTGATGTAAAGGGTTATTCGGACATACAATTGAATAATGTTTTATTACACGATAAATTAAAAAATTTAGATTTTTCACACAAAACGTCCACGTTTAGCATTGTAACTATTTTATGTATTTTAACACTTATTGTAATTATACTTTGTTTAAAAAAACAATTGCTCTCTCTTTTGAAGCAAAAAGAACCAAAAAATCAATCAGTCAAAAATGACATTGAACTTAACCAGATTTTTCCTTTGAACCAGGAGGTTCAATCTTCTTGAAGAGGGAGGAATTACGGCACTGCTATGATGATGATCTAATATGTAGAGTTGCTTAGGTTTGCACTTTTCAATTCCTTTGTTCTAGCGTAGGTTATAAGTAAGAGATGCATGTAAACCAAGGTGACCAGTACTCATTCGTCTTCTGTTAAATAAAGTCGCTTTTTAAAAAGTCGTTCGTTGTTTGCACATTCTTAATTCGCACAAAGCGGATGAGGGGATCACAACATCACAGGCAGTGGTCAGTTTCCACCCCGTCATGCAGACGCTTCAAACTCAATAGTCCGCGACCTGATATCTTGCAAGGTATGTCATTATTATTAGTATTATAATACTCAGTGACATTAGAAGTGTTACACCCAGAAAAAATAATTTGATTAACTTGATTTTTTGGCAACGAAGTAGTGTTACATCAGGAATGAAACGATAACATTCTCAAGAAATTTTATTGACAAGTAATAAGCAAAAAAAATGAATAATGTGCTGGACTACCCCGCAGCTGAGTACACACCTGTATACGTCTAGGCATCGGCAAATGTGATGATCGATGTCTGGTTGTCGCACCTCATTCTAAGCAACTCGAACTTCGTGGATTAGCAGTCATATTGCCTTGAACAAAGAGAAGGGGTGATCGGCTACCATAGGCAATAGCCCCACAAACCATTACCGCAAGAGACCTGCGTACATGCCTCTAAACATCAAATCCAATCTCACGCCGTTCTCCACGGCGGCGTCTTATCCTTCTACAACCATTGTGCGTACCTAGACAGAACCGCGATTCGTCGCTGAAGATGAGATTATGCTATTCTGCCTCCCAATGTTGCCGTTCTCTGCTCCAGTTCAAACGTTGACGACAGTGGTCCGCAGTCAGCGGAAGCACTAACCGTGGACCGTATGAAAAAAGTCCAAAGGCACGAATGCGGCGATGGAGTTTACACATAGTAACAGGTCTACCTTCTTCTTCAAACCATTGGTCAGCGATCTGACGTGTAGTACCAAAACGGCCTCGTAAGGCTATTTGTCTGAAGCGCCTATGTTGACGCTCTGTGGTACGCCTTGGTAGACCAGTTGGCCTTCTTCGTGTTCCCCCTCATTCTTCTATTCACACACGAAAGAGACGCACTACCGCCATTGCACTACAATTAACGCAACGGACAGTTTCGCGATAGGACAAACCAGCATCTCGATAGGCAATAATTCTACCCCTGTCAAAGATGCTAACATGGTGATAATATGGACGTCTTCGAACTCTAGGCACTTTGTTATGCTCAACAGTAGTAAGGAAAAGGGCAATAACTAAAAATATCAGCTCTCAGTAACTGCGATCTTTACAAAACTAAGACATAACATTTTAACAAAGGTAAACAAGAACAATGATGAAGCGTTGACATTGTCGCCATATCATGCTTTAAATATAGTCATTATGTTGCCAAAAAAAGTTAAAGAAATTTTTTTTCAGTGTGTAACACTTCTAATGTCACTGAGTATATTGCTATTATTATTACATCCAGAAAACAAACTAATTTCCGAGATTCCTCTCGGATACAATACTTCCTCTCGAATTGCCATAGGAAGCAAAAGAATCATATACTTGACTGACGGAACGTAACTGGCACATTCAGGCTAACGCTTCCATTTGCTTGGCATTTCCTGCATATCTTTTAATATACAGGTTTCAGAACAATGTTCTAAAATATGGGTTTTTCAAATGTCAAGCAGTGTATACGCGCTCACTGGATATGCTACAATATTAAATCCATTAGAAAAGTGCCCTAGGGATGGAGAAATGATGATATAACCGTAGCCTGAGCAATTCACGATGTAAGCCTCACGCTATTTCTTTGTATAGGGTGACTCAAAATCAAGGTATACAGAAATAAGGCCACAAATTCCTATAAATAAAGTCTTTGTGGTTTTCCCTGAGAACGTAGAGGTCTCGGATAAGGACTACGAAAATCGTTTTTTTTTAGATAATTTTTGATCGGTATGTAGAATTCAGTGAAATTCAGGCTTCACATAGTGGTGCCCATACAAACCAATTAGCTCATTTAGACCGCCAGAAATGGACTGGAAGTATGATTGAACTGACTCAGTAATGATATTATCTGAAAGCTTGATCTTGAAAATGAGCTTTTGCTTGAAATCGATAAAATTGGTACCGCTATTGGAAAATCGTTCTACCTTTGGAAGAACCCCAAAATATGAGTCTGCAGATCACTTAAATAAGTCCTAAATTTTCGCCATTGGAACACTTTTTTTTAAATTTGCTCATTATATTGACCTTCAATGAGAGTACGTTTTTGACTTACATAATTGGGCTACGTAGAACTAACATATTAGTTTGTCACAAAACGTAAAAATTGAAGAAGGTCGGCGAAAATGAGATTATTCCTATTTTTGCTATGATGTTTTCATATACCAATAACGATGCCCAAGTACCATTCATACATAATAGAATTTGAAAAAACGTCTGTGACAGTATGCTGGTCGAGCAGAACTTCTCACAGTAGCTTTCCACCTCTTACGTGTCAGGACGGAATGATTTTAACCGACTCAAATGCCAAAGCCGGCGACTCAGTGAAGCTGAGCGCTGTAATGTAATGCTCACATCCAGCATTACATTAAAAAGTTCGTGATTTGAGTCCAGCGAATGTACAGTTGGAATGCTCGGCTCAACAGTGCTCCGCATTTTTCTACCGCAGTCTGTGTCGAAATGTTGACATGAAAGTAGCTAGTGTTGCATTCAAAATCAAAAAAAATCTACACTCTATGATGATCTTTTAGTTCCCATTACTATAAATTTAATTTTTTCCTAATTTTATTTTCAATATTTAATTCTGAATAATGTTGCTATAGACTGTTGCCTAAAATTCAACGCCTGCTGTTCCACTTTTTTCCCAAACAAGTGTATTCTAATTTAAAGCTTTTCTCAATTTTGTTGGCTGTACTTAAACAAATCTACTACGCTAGTCTGGCAAGTAGCTTCAAATGTTGTCACATTTAATCAGGATTCCAAAGTGGTATGACACTCGCTAGATTATTTCTTGAATTATGCATAATTTTAATGCTCGTAAGGAATCTCAGTTTTCCATATATTTTTGTTAATTACTTAAAATTATTCTAGTGTATGTGAGAGCTATCTTACAAAGTGTGAACGAGACAGTAAGCGCGTAATTTTCCTCCAAGCTGAAGCAGCTGGTGTTCAATTTTAGGCAAAATTTACAGCAGATCAAGATTATCTAATAAAAATAAAATTAAAAAAAAAAATGAAATTTGTAAGTAGTAACGTGCTTAGATTTTTTCGATTTTTTCAAGCTTATAATTTGGAAAGTACGAGGAACGTGTTTTAAGTTTTGCATATAGAAACATAGTAGGCCGCGCGGATCGAACGTCAGTACTGAATCTTAACCTCACTCTTTAGTAAACTTAAATTCAAAGTTTCACAACAGGTGTTCTCACTACAGTGAATTTTTAAGTGTCACCAAGTCATTAGAAAAATGGAACTCAACCGAGAACATTTTCGCGCCATAATTTATTACAACTTTCAGAGACAATTATCGCAACAAGAATGCCATGCTGAGTTACTGTCTGTTTTCGGCAACGAAGCGCCACATCAGACGACAATTTCCCGTTGGTATAGAGAATTCAAACGTGGACGGGTGAGTCTTAGCGACGATTCCAGGGTGGGTGCAGCAAAAACGGCAGTCACCCAGGCAGACGTCAATGCCGTGCGCAAATTCATTGAAGATAGAAACGTGAGATTGAGGCGTCCTTGAAGATCTCAAAGACCTCAATTCAAAAAATTTTACATGAAGAATTAGGAGTAAGAAAATTAGTTCCTCGTTAGATACCCCACCTGTTGACTGAAGAGCAGAAAGCAGCCAAGGTTAATTGGTGGCAAAAAACGCTTGACCGTTGCAATTACGGAAACTCAAAAAACGTGTACAGCATTGTTAGTGGTAATGAGTCGTGGATTTACTGTTATGAACCAGAAAATAAACGACAGTCGGCTGTTTAGGTGTTCCTAGGTGAAGAAAAGCCAACAAAAGTCATCCGTTCTTGAAGTGTTTCGAAAAAGCGGGTCATATTGCAACAATTCCTCTTAATGAGCAAATAACTGTTACTGCGGATTGGTATACCACCATTTGTTTGCCAAAAGTCATCACCCAGCTTCGAAAAATCAACCCCGAAAGAAGAATGATCCTCCACCAAGACAATGCAAGCTCGCCCACAGTACAAAAAACAAGGCAGTCTCTAAGGGAAGAAAACGTGGAATTATTGGACCATCCTCCATATAGTCCCGATCTAAGTCCTAACGATTTCTTTACTGTCCCGGAAATTAAAAACAGACTGCGTGGTCAAAGGTTGTCACCAGAAGAAGCAGTTGACGCATTCAAAAATGCCGTTTTGGATCTGCCAGCAAACGAGTGGAATAAGTGCTTCGAAAATTGGTTCAAGCGAATGCAGATGTGTATTAATCTTCGTGGAGAATACTTCGAAAAACAATAAAGTCATTTAAAACCTCCTACCGTGTTATTTTATTTCCATATGCAAAACTTAAAAGACATCTCTCGTACTGGACCTAGATTTTTTTACATTCTTTTGATAACTATTATGATTTGGCCTATTCCCCATTTCCGGCTTGACGTCGACTTCTGTAACACCCTGTATATTGGTGAAGTAAGGCACACATTCTTACCAGTTCGTGTGTCTTTGCTTTTCCTTATTTTGGCTTTCTCTCTCCTGATAGAAGTTAACAAACTTGTAGCTTTACGTTTACACTCATTAACCGAAGTTTGGTACGATATATATATATCATCAAAAATGTAGATGATCAGATAGGAACAGCTCTGATTCTGCTAGACTTCTCTGCCTTTGATATGGTACATCATGGTATTCTCTTGAGTAAGCTCAAATTTTATGGTCTCTCTGACAAGCCACTACGTTTCTTCGATTCGTATTTGCGCAATCGTACCCAGAAGGTGAAAACACGTAAGGGAGTTTCTTCGGCAAAGAGTGTGGCATCTGGCGTACCTCAAGGCTCTGTGTTGGGACCATTACTCTATTTAGTTTATACCTTTGATCTACATACTTGCCTTCAGCACTGTAATATTCAAACGTATGCAGATGACACGCAGCTAACTGTGTCTTTTGATTCTTCGGACATGCATGAAGCATCATATAAATTGAACTTGGATCTAGTTAACATTGAAGAGTACTGCGAAAGACATTGTCTGAAGATCAATGCTTCAAAATATTCCACCATGCTATTTGGCCTAAAACAGTTAGTACAACGGTTAGAGGTTCCTTGTCTTAACGAAACCCATATTCCTATCGTAGACCATGCGAAGTATTTACGGATCACCATGGATTCAGATTTGAGGTTTAAACAACATGTTACGCATTTACCTCGCTTAACATACATGCGTTTGAAGTTATTATACACCAATCGCCATATTCTGAATTTCAAGACTCGCAAAAAACTGGCTGAGAATCTGGTTCTATCGTTAATAAATTACTCAATTGCTGTTTACTTCCTTTGTCCTTGATTACGTGACTAGATATCGAGTACAAAAATTCAAAGTAGCTGCTGTAGGTTCGTTTGTGGTCTGCGAAAGTTTAGCCATGTGTCTAAGAAGATCAATGAGCTTAGATGGTTGAGGGTTGACTAGCTTTTCACATGTAACTTACTAATTTTAGTACAACGAATAAAAATCAATAGGCTATCTACGTATCTACTAAAAAGGCTGGTACCACGTGGAGATCTCAATTACAGGAATCTGAGACATAACACTGACTTCCATATACCTAGTTATAGGAGCAACATTTTCCATCGTAGCTTCACCTACAACGCTGTCAAGGTGTACAATAGTCTTAATGACAATTACAAAAAGATGGAAATACTTCCATTCTCAAGAGAGGACGTTAAGAACCACCTTCTGGGGTCTGCTGGCCAAGCTGGCTGATATTTTTATTTTTTTTGTCTTTATTGTTTTTTTTTTTGTTTATTATTAAGATTAATCTATTTCAGCTTAATTTTATTATTGTATATATTATTTAGTCGATTGCTATTCATTGTTATGTTTTTCCTTTTGTATGTGTTCCTGCGCTGTGAGGTTAAGTGGTAGAGTAGCCAGCTGGAGGGATTAATAAAGACATGATTATTATTATTATTATTATTATATAAATCAATAAAAAATAAAGTGTTCCCCTGGGACCACTCATTA